GCATAAACGCCATGCTGAAGGTGCTGTACGGCACCCTGCGCATCGCCTGCCTCGACCCGCTGCCGCCCGCGGCCGCGCCTCCTTCCCCCGGCCTGGCCGGGCCTCGCCGCCGCGCCCTGCTCCGTTCGCGCCAGCTCTACACGCCAGCGTCGCCGCCCTGCCTGCTCACGCCGCACTCCGACAACCTGCACCAGATCGACGCCGTGGACGGGCCCGCTGCCTTCCTTGACATCCTGGCGCCGCCCTACGACCCCGAACACGGCCGGGACTGCCACTACTACCGCCTTCTCGAGGCGCCGCCCCCGGGCGCCGACCCGCCTGCGCTGCCTCGCGAGGGCCCCAAGGTCTCCCCTTGAAGCTGGTGCTGCCCCCAGTGTGCGTCTGCTCTGGCTGCCGCCCCCCACTCGGGGATCAGGGCCTCTGTCCTCTCCCTCAGCAGCCAGAACAGCAGCAGGAGGCCAACAGAAGATTCACTGGGGAGGCCTGGCAGGGAATCTGGCTCCTGCCCTGGATCTCTGGCTGTCCAAACGCCATAGTGACCAGTCCCCACCCCCTTTGAAGTAATAATAGCCACAAAGCCAGGCCCTGCTCCCCGAATGCAGAAAGCCACTTTCAGCCCCTACCCCAGGACAGGCCGATGTGTTGGGAGATGTGTTTGCATGCGCTTTTCAGTTTCATTTCATCTGTTCAGCTCTCTGGCCCCAAACATGAAGTGTCTGTCAGGTGGGGAGGATGAGCAGCATTTCCAGCCTCTGTGACGAATGCATAATTGCAGCAGAAACAGCTTCCCATGCGTGACCCCTGCCTTGTTGGAGTGGACTCACCGAGGGTGGAAATCTTTCTTTTTTTCTGCAACCGATGCACACAGACACATATCAAGGAGAGCAGTGTCTGGGGCAGATTACAGCACCTTTTTCCCCACCTATGTCACCAGAAGTCTACCAGCAAATCAACGCTCGACTCTGGGAACCAGGATGGATGAGATACACTACGTGATCTCCTGTGCTTCCTCAGCGCCATAAGAGAGAGAGTGCTGCTTTGGTGGTAGCTGTGTCTTGCTCTCCCAGCTAACAAATAAACGATATCCAGCCAGTACTACCCCTGTGAACACGGATTGTATCTGCTGGAAAACTACATGTAGGAGACTCTTTACCTCTGGGCACTTGCCTCCTAGGAGTGGAGGCCAATAAAGTGATCAAGTGTATTTATTTGTTTTTGACATGCGGTGATATGGAAGAGGCTCTCTCTAAACTTACACACAACTGAATGTTTAAAAAAAAAAAATACCAGTATCCTGTCTCACTACTTAGAGCTACTTTTCTGCAGGGAAAAAGGGTCATAAAGTTGTGAGAATAGATGCAATAAGAAACATTTCATTTTTCTATAAGGCATGTTAATAGTAGAGAGCCCTGAAAACTAAGTGGTATTTCTGGCCTCTAATATCATTGACAATATTTTCTCAAACACTGTTTACTTTGTAGGTAGTAATGAATTTGTGCTGCTGCCTCACCTTTTTAAGCTAATGGGCAAGGGAGGGGACAGGGGACTCTTCTGTCATGGGTCTGTTGGGGATTGTCTCTCTGAAATGAGTTTCAAGAGCTGTATGGAATTAGCAAGAAACAAAACAACCTGAGCCAGGAAATGCTACTAGAACAATAACTAACCATTTCTGGGATTACAGTTAGTGAAATTAAGGTCTGCCATACTGTTGAGACATGGCTGGGTTAAGAATTACTTTTAAAAGATTTCTTAACACATTAATCTTTTGCTGTTGAAGCTGAAAATTCCTAAATGTCTTTGCTATTTCTGGTTGCATATCTTTTTTCAGTTTGGATAAAAAGAATAGATTAGTCAGCTTCTAATCAAGTTCATTTTGAAGTTCTCATGCAGCAGTGTTTTGGGTGTAAACTGTGGGAGAATGTTTTTGTTAATTTTTCATTGCACATATGTCACATGGAAACTTCTGGGATGTTGGGTTCTAAAAAATACACAATCCCTAAATTTGAAATTGAATTTGACTGATATCATATCTTTACGTAAGGCTTAGTTTTATACGTATGATACTTACTTTAAGCTTTTTAAGCCTTGTGGTTTCCCTCTTTCTACTGTTTATAAAAATTACTTTTTCATAAGTGTTTTAATAAATATAGTATAGAAAAATGCAGTGAATTTTGCCTTGCTATAGTGTACACAGTCTTAAGGTGTAGTTTGCCCATGGTGTTGGGGGTATGCCTTTCTAGCAAGGGTCATTCTACTATTGAAATATTCTACTATTGTTTTCTACTATTGAAATATTCTGTTTATACTGCAAGAAAAGGTTTTGTAATGTGCCTGCATATCTTAATGCACACTTTGTACCAGAGACCCAAATGTGGGTAGCCTTGACTCTCTTCTGGTCTTGAAGCAGTGACTTGAACAGAAAAAATATTGACTTACCAACCTCACAAATGATGTACCAACCTGATCCAGAAATTTTTCCATCACACTTATTATTTCTTCTTTGCTTTTTGTATTTGTAAAAGCAGATTTTGTTTTTCCCTGTATAGCTGCTTATACATGAGAATTTTAAACTAATCCTGATGTGGCTTTAATCTTCAAGGGTTATTTTCCATTGTCTGCAAAAGATTGGACGTGAATTATATTAAGCATTATATATGCAAATCTTTAATTCTTTTTAGAACATAAGGTGAAAATTATTTTATGCAGTTCGCATTTATTTTTCTGGCACTTCAAAGTGTCAGATATTTCTACAGCTGTGTTGCCTACTTTTCCTGGAATTCCATTGCAGTTTACAGTTTTGCAGTAGGTTCCAGCATTCTTCATTTTATTACTTAACTGTAGTACAGTTCTTTAGCACATTACTGCATGTGATTCAAACTCTGCTCCTTGACACTAACGAAGACCTTAATCATTTTTCAGACTTCAATATGTGAAATAGTAGTGCAAGCACCTCTACTGGAAAAACAAACTGCTACAAAAAGCATTTTTATCTAACCTATTTTAACTTCCTAGGTGTCTCAATTATTTGAATTTGAAGCTAGCCAGCATGTTTAATAGGATGTGACTTTAATGCATCTTTAGTATAGAGGACAGCAGCAGTCCCCCATCCTCACAGGATGATGTAAGAATGATCACAGCAAAACATTTACTATATCAAGGTTAAAAGGACCAGTATTAAAACAGGTCACAGTGCCAGGAAGAAACCAAATACAACCTAAGATGCATTAAAGAAAAGTCTGTACAACTTTTTGTCCAAACCTTTGTATATTTAGAAATTAATCATAAATTTGGAAGGGACCTCAAGGGTCAAAACTTATTTCAGATGTTCCTGATATCTGTAAACAGAAGGTTTAAGTCAGCATTATTGTTCTTTCTCTCTGCAGTCTGGTTGTTGTGTTTTCATAACAGCAAAATGATTGTTACTGTTCAGCTATAGAATAAATGCAAGATATCTCGACACTGGCTTATGATTTTTTGCCTTGACAGTTGTGATAGAGTTGGGGACTCAGATTAAAAGATTCATTTGCTTTTGTCTATTATTACACACAGCATAGTTGCCTTTTAAAAGTGACCTTTAAGTCAATTTATGCACAATTTATATATTAGTTTCAGCCTCTCATGTTGGCACCATGAATGCTATGCCAGTATGAAATTGTCCTGCCATATCCTGGTTTGTAAGATTTTCATGTGGTCCTGTACTCAAGATTCTGTCCAGCCAGATCCAAAACTAAGTCAAATGTGCTTTAAAATTGGTTTGACAGCAGCAGCCTGTAAGATAGTCCACTGATATAGATGCAGTGAGCTGTGTGGTACATTTAAGATGCTCTAACCACTGCTATAGCTGCAGTCATTTAGGAAGCTATGTTTCCTAATCTGCGCTATTCTGAGCATCTATGTTAAATCTGTCATTAAAAGTTCACCTGTGTCTTGGAAGCCAAATGTATATGGCATGAGATGACACTGCTGAAATGCTCTAAGAAATTAAAAATGATTTCCTCCTCTGGACATACAACATGGAACCGTAAATGCAGGTACTTATATTTTCACAGCTCTGTAGCAAAGACTGACCTAATTGCTGTATAAATTTAGGTAAACATGCAATTACCTTTATTTACAGTAAAATTGGCCCAGTATTTCAGGTGAATAACAGGAGCTCCAAAGGAATGGGAGCAGGGCAACATCTGAAAAAAACACACTACCCATTCTAATGAAGATCTTTAGCCTTTTTGTTTTCTGAGGTGTTGAACAGCCAGAAGCTGTACTGAATGGAAAAATGCATACAAGCAGTCCTTCCTCCCTTTTAGCAAGGTTTTCTTTTTAAAAGAAAGTTGCATCCAGCCTTCCTATTTCACTGCCATGCTCTGAAGCTTTGGCCCCATTTCTACCTGAATTTTAAAAGCTTTACTAAGCTTTAAGCTAGGAAGGAAAGATTTGTAGACACCACTTTAACCTGTTCTAAGCCAATTCGGGTCATGCTTAACTTTGCAGAACTACTGACAGCTCTAAGTCTACATTCTTTTGCAGCCAGTAAAACACACAACAGCAAAGCATTAAATATGAACAGAGATGTAAAATTCCGCACGTTGCCTTAGTTCACTTGAACCCAGTGAAGGCAGGGTAACCTATTTGACACTGTGCATTGAAGCTAAAATAAGAGTTTCGGCAGTGAAAAGTGCCTACTAATTTATGGGGTCAGAGTTTATACTAGCAAGACTTAACTCCTGCTAGTTTGGTACCAAATGCATAGAGGAGACACTTGCATAAATATTTCCTTCAGGTAAATTAAATATGGCTATCAATGGGAGCTGTGGGTTCTCAGTGCTTCTTAGGTTCAGCTTTAAGCAGGTCTGTACAATGCAAAAAAAACCCCATGACTCTTCTTAAATGTGGGTTTTTTTCTGCAAAGGTCCAGATCAAGACTGTTCATTATTTGCAAGAATACTACTGCATAGTGAAGACCTGCTTCCACACTTACTCTGCAACTGTAGACAACAAAGAGCTGGGGTCTGCCTTGAACAATAAGGGCTTGCCTCATTTAATTAAAACAGGTGCTCGAGAGGTTCTTACCTTCTGGAAAGAAAGTGCAGCAAACCAGGACAATATATTATGTGCCATTTCATAAGAGGGGTTTCCACATGCATTTCCTAGGTGTTAGGTGTTGCATTTTATAGAAGTGAATGTGCCACAACAGCTTTGCATTTTCTGAACAAGCCACAAAGCCATTCCTTAACTCAAGAAGAAGCTCCAATTAGGTACAAGATGTATTCCCCAGCTTAAATTAAGTGCAAGTCCAGGGAGACATTTGCTTGCCACAGCTGCTAAAGCACCTGGGCTTTAATTTTTTTGTTTTCAGGCTTCTGATCCTATAAAACTTTGTGCTCTTTGCTTTTATCCAAGTGACTGGGGGGAGGGTCACATTAGGATCTAGAGAGTTAAGGCAAGCAGGTGCTGGAAGGAAGAAGCATGGAATGGGGTGGGCCCTTCCTTGCCCACAGCTGCCCCAACTGCACTGGTGAGGTTGCCAATGCACCAGGGACAGAGGTCTGGTGAGTGTCCCCCACAGGTGCTAGGCAGACCAGGTTCTTTGGGTAAATCTGATATCTTTTATTAGGCCAACTAAAATAGTTGGAAAAATTCTTTGCAAACTTTCGGGTACAAACACCCTGCCTAAGTCCTTATACCAACATGTCTACAACCAACACCCCACAGGTGCTGGGTGCCGATATTGCCTCTGAACAGCAGCCGCTACTGCCATCTCTGGCAGAGCGGCCTCAGCTCAGCGCCGGGGTGATTTTCCCGCCTTCAAGGAGGCTTCCCCAGGAGAAACCTAGTGAAAGCTTCACCAGCAGGCATGCCCCTGCCCTGCCCTGCCCTGCCCTTGCCCGCTCTAGTCGCCCTCCCCTCCCCTCCCCTGGTGCCGGCCCCGGGCTTCACCCTCCACAAATCACTGTGTGTCCCACCCTGGCTGGGAGGCTGCCCGGGGAAATCCCTGCGGCCCAGGGGCTGTTCCTGTACTGGGCAGCGCTGAGGAGCAGTTCCCCTGCTGTGCACTCCCCCGGCCTCGCCGCCCCCACCCCATCCCGGGGATCCCTGTCTCCCAAGCCGCGGCAGCAGAGGGGCTGGGAGCGAGCAGAGAAACGCTGCAAGGCCCGGGCCTCCGAGTGAAAAGTGTTTATTTACAGGCTGTGGAGAACAAGCCCGGTTTCCCTCCGCGGGCTGCTGGTCGGGGCAGACGAGCGCGCCGGCAGTCGCCACGTCCCGTCCGTGTCTTCGGGGAGGAGCCCGAGGGCGGTACAAAAATAGAGCGTCTAAAACCCGCGTGTGAACAGCAGGGACGTGCGGGCCGCGCATGTACATGCGGACACGGGCCCGTGGTCCCCAGGGATGTGGACACCAGGCATGCACCTCCTCTATGTACAACCGCTGCCCGGCCCGGCCCTCCCCGCGGGCACGGCCGGGAGCATCTGCGCTGGACTTAGCGGGCGGCGCCACATAGCGCTGCCCGGG